GGCCTGGTGTTGGAAAGAACTAAATGAATATTGAAATTGCTAGGGATTATGACAGAAGTACTGGATAGGGTGAGAGTAAGCAAGGAGCAGGCAAGAGACTACAACAGAGAAGGCAATGGGCGGTATACAGTGTTATGACAGGAGATTTAAAGTTGAGTATTATTAGAGAGTAGGGAAGAATGATCTAGAAGTAGAATTGAGGAGTGAGGAAGACCCCCACCTTATTTCCAGGCCAACTGATGAGGGGGGTATAGGAGTTAAGATAGACATCATTTTAGGGATGTCCGTCTGGGTGGTTCACTCGGTTAAGCATCCAAGTCTTGGTTTCTGCTCAGGTCATGATCTCAGGGTTGTGAGATTGAGCCGTGCATTGGGCTCTGTGTTGGGCATGGAGTCTGCTTAAGATTCTTTCTTCCTCTCCCTTGGCCCCTCCTCCTGCTCTAAAAAAATAGACATCATTTTAGAGGGCTGCAGGGAGAGCCAGGGGTCAGTTACTATTTTGTATATTTTGAAGTTATATTGTAATAAGCATCTACGTTAATATAGATGCATTATATTTTCTGTATATTACATGTTCTTTATCTATTGTCTCTCCTTGCCCTTAATGATGCTTTTTGCCTTGAATTCTATTTTTGGTCTGATATTAGACATCTGCTTGGCTTTCTTTTGGTTCATAGTTGCCTTTTCCCATCTTTTTGTTCTAACTTGTCCAACCTTTCTTTTAAATGTGTCTCATATAGACATTAATACTGCTAGATTTTGTTTTTTAATTCAATCTGAGAATTTTATCTTTTCTTTGGTGTGTTTAACTAATAAATTACTTCTATGTTAGAACTGTTTAAATTTTCTCTCTCTTTTGCTTCTTGTTCATTTCCTTGGATAAATCAGTTTTATCTATGGGTTTGAAAGGCATGCATTTTATATTTGTTTTTCATTGGTTATCCCTAACTTGTTAAGGGATTTACTTGTATTTTTTCCCTTAATTTATGAAATTTATCAATACCTATCTGTATCTTCCTCCTTAGTAGGATAAATACTTTAACACATGGACTCTTCCCTATCTCTGGATATTGCATTCTGTGCCCTACTTTGTTATATCTGGGGTGTGTATGTATGTGTATAAAATGCCTTTTTTTTTTAAGATTTTATTTATTGAGAGAGAGAGAGTGAGTGAGAGAGCTCGAGAGCTTGAGAGCTCGAGAGCGCATGGATGGGGGAGGGGCAGAGGGAGAAGCAGCCTTCCCACTGAGCTGGAAGCCCAATGTGGGGCTCGATCCCAGGGCTCTGGGATCATGACCTGAGCTGAAGGTGGATGCTTAACAGACTGAGTCACCCAGGTGCCCCTAAAATGACTTTTTAAAAAAATATTTATTTATTTGAGAGAGAGAGAGCACCAGCAGGAAGACGGGCAGAGGGTGTGGGAGAGAGAAAACCCCAAGCCAACTCCCCACTGAGGGCAGAGCCTTATGTGGGACTCAATCCCAGGACCTGAGATCATGACCTGAGCTGAAATCAAGAGTCAGCAGGTTAACCGACTGAGCCACCCAGGAGCCCCCTGCTTTTTTTTTTTTTTTTAAAGATTTATTCATCCATTCCAGAGAGAGAGGAAGAGAGAGCACAAGTCGGAGGAGGGGCAGAGAGAAAGGGAGAGAGAAAATTTCAAGCAGACTCCCTGCTGAGCATGGAGCCCAATGCAGGGCTCGATCCCATAGCCCGAGATCACAACCTGAGCTGAAAACAAGAGTCTGATAGTTAACTGACTGAGCCACCCAGACAATATTTTTTTTATTTTTAGACAGTAAACCTTAGGAAGTTATTTTCTCATCTTATATTTTATAGCATTTCCTAAAATTTTTGATAGATTACTTCCTCCAGGAATATTTTCATAGGGTCTTTATGATGATCTGCTGAGACCTTGAAGGTCTGAGAATATATTTATTGTACCTTCACATTTAATTGATAGTTCAGCTGAATATAAAATTTTAGAGTCAAAGTTTCTGTTTTTAGGGATGCCTGGGTGGCTCAGTTGGTTAAGTGTCTGCCTTTGGCTCAGGTCATGATCCCAGAGTCCTGGGATTGAGTCCTACATCAGGATCCTTGCTCAGCAGGGAGCCTGCTTCTCCCTCTGCCTGCCACTCCCCCTGCTTGTGCTCTCAGTCTCTCTCTCTCTCTCTCTCTCTCTCTCTCTCTCTCTCGGACAAATAAATAAATAAATAAAATCTTTAAAAAGTTTCTGTTTTTGATATTTTGAAAATATTTCTTCATTGCTTTCTTGCTCCTAATGTTGCTCTTGAGAAGTCTGACACATTCTGATTGGTTTTCTTTATTGGTGAGCTGCTCTTCTTAGAAAGGTTTTACAATTTTCTCTTTGCCTTTGGAGTTCTTAAATTTCTCTCTCTCTCTCTCTCTTGGACAAATAAATAAATAAATAAAATCTTTAAAAAGTTTCTGTTTTTAATATTTTGAAAATATTTCTTCATTGCTTTCTTGCTCCTAATGTTGCTCTTGAGAAGTCTGACACATTCTGATTGATTTTCTTTATTGGTGAGCTGCTCTTCTTAGAAAGGTTTTACAATTTTCTCTTTGCCTTTGGAGTTCTTAAATTTCATTAAAATATCAGTAAGTATTCATTTTCCCATATCAACCCTATTTATCACCCCGTATACCCTTTCAGTATCAATCTTTCTTTGGAAGTCCTCACTTTTTTTCATGTATCATCTTCCCTCCATTTACTTTTTTCTCTCCTGTTAGCACTCCTATTATAGAAATGCTGATATTTCTATGTCTAGCCTCTATATTTCTTAATTTTTATATTTTTCATCTCTAATTCCTTCTCAATGTCTTCTGGAAACTTTTTTTTTTTTTAGGATTTTATTTATTTGACAGAGAGAGCACAAGCAGAGGGAGAGAAAGGGAGAAGCAGGTTCCCTGCTGGGCAAGGAGCCTGATGTGGGACTCAATCCCAGGACCCTGGGATCATGACCTGGGCTGAAAGCAGCCGCTTAACCGACTTAGCCACCCAGGTGTCCCTTCTGGAAACATTTCTTGACCTGATCTTGGGCTCTGTCCATTTTGCTGTTTATGTCATCTAATGAGTTTATTTCAACAGTGTTTTGAATATTCAGTAATCCTACCTGTTTCTTTATAATTGTGTCTGCTTCATTATCAGTATCCTCTTTAGGGACATTTATTTGGCATGTATTCTATTAATTCTTGTCATCTAGAGTAGGTTATTTAGTTTATTGCCTTTCTAATTTTCTAGTTATTTTTCCCTGTGAAGTCATTTTCCCTCATGGGTATCAATTATCAGTCATCTTGGTAGGTAATGGATGGAGAAAGGAGTGGGAGGAATCAAAACCTAAGCCTTAGCTGTGCCACCCCTGGTGAGCAGTGTTCCGACTTTGAACATCCTCATTCTCATCAGGAGGCTTTGCCCTTTAGCGAACCTCCCTGTATCTTACCCTAGGCTTTTTCTTTTCTAAGAATGTATCATCTAGTCCTCTGGATGAAAAGAAGGTCTGTGGGTTGGGTGAGGTAGGAGGAAGTCCTTTGATGCTTATTGGTTAAGTCAGCGTTTACTGTGCTTGTTTTACTCTACATCCCAATACTGTTCCCCTATGAATCTGCTTTCCACTCTTGTGGTAGGGCTGATAGGGAAGGCGGTGATCTGAGTCTGGGCAATGTTGAGGGGTAGAGCCCAACTCAAAATTTCTCTGCAAATTCACTCCCCATGTTTGGAGCCTGGCTTTCCTCTGTACAGGGCTACTATTTCCCTTCTTTACCAAATCACAATCACCTTCTGACCCTGCAGGGGTTTCTGCTGGTTTTCTTCTCTCTCTCTTTTTTTTAAATTTTTTTTTAAAAGATTTTATCCATTTATTTGACAGAGAGAGACACAGTGAGAGAGGGAACACAAGCAGGGGGAGTGGGAGAGGGAGAAGCAGGCTTCCCGCGGAGCAGGGAGCCCGATGCGGGGCTTGATCCCAGGACCCTGGGATCATGACCTGAGCCGAAGGCAGACGCTTAACGACTGAGCCACCCAGGCGCCCCTCTTTTTTTTTTTTTTTTTAAAGATTTTATTTATTTATTTGACAGAAAGAGAGCACAAGTAGGCAGAGTGGTAGGGAGAGGGAGAAGCAGGCTCTCTGCTGAGCAGGGAGAGAGACATGGGGCTTGATCCCAGGACCCTGGGATCACGACCTGAGTCAAAGGCAGCCACTTAGCTGACTGAACCACCCAGGCACCCCTCTCTCTCTCTCTTTTTTAATATCCATTCATTTCTTATTTCTGAGGCATCTTTGGGTTTAGGTTCTGGGAGGTAGACTGTGCCACTTTGCCATCATGTCAGTGGCCATATTATGTCCCTTTTATGACAGCCTACCACAGTGTTTGTTTTGTGTTTCTAATAATCTAGAGCAAACAATATTCTTTCTTTTTTTTTTTTAAGATTTTATTTATTTATTTGAGAGAGAGAGAATGAGAGATAGAGAGCACGAGAGGGAAGAGGGTCAGAGGGAGGAGCGGACTCCCTGCCGAGCAGGGAGCCCGATGTGGGACTCGATCCCGGGACTCCGGGATCATGACCTGAGCCGAAGGCAGTCGCCTAACCAGCTGAGCCACCCAGGCGCCCAACAATATTCTTTCTTGAGTGCTCATATTAATAGTCTGGAAATGAAGATGTTTAACCTAGAGAACAATAGGCAGAATGTAAAAGCACAGCATAGGCAAAGCAGTTGGGGGTGCCTGGGTGACTCAGTTGGTTAAGCATCTGGCTTTTGGCTTTGGCTGGGGTCTTGGTCTTGGGGTCCTGGGATAGAGTCCTGTATCAGGCTCCCTGCTCAGTGGGGAGTCTTCCTCTCTCTCTGCCTCTCTTCCTGCTCATGCCCTCTCTCTCTCAAATAAATAAATAGAATCTTAAAAAAAAATAGGCAAAGCAATGCATATACATGAAAGAGCAAAACAGGAATTTTACTGCAACACTGAAATTTACTTTCAACATGCTTGTGTTTAATTTTACAGTCACTTGGGAATCTTCTTAAACCTGGAAACAAGACAAGAAAATTAATCTTATTACAAATTGCGCTTAAATACATTTGTAGGAATATAAATGATTCATATGGAAAATAAGAGTGCCTCCAGAACTCACAAAGTTAAACTAGTAAAATTGATGTGTAATCTCTATTTATAAAAATCACCTTATTAAGGCAGAATGTCTCCCAGGAAGAGCAGGGCTTGGCAATAGCTTATTATTTATTAGACAGTCTTCTTAAACCTAATGTTAGAACATGACCAAATATTGACAATGGTTATTTCTGGTCATGGACTTCTCTGTATTTTTCAAATTTTCTATGATGAACATGCCTTACTTTTGTAATTGGAAAAAAATTAATATTATTTTAATGGAATTTTCATGGGGAAATCACCATATAAGTATACAAACTTATGCAAGGATATTTGCTGCAGCATTGTTTGTAATATTGAAAAATGTGAAACGTCTATCAGTAGGACAGTTCAATAAATTGTGATAGAACTATACAATGAATATCATGCCGTCAACAAAAATGATGATGTAAGTCTATATTACCATAGAAAAATTTTAAAGATGTACTGTCAAGTGAAATACTTAAGCAGGTTAAAAAACATGTTCCATAGGAGCACAGTTTTGCAACCTAAAGCAAGTGCACAGAAATCTTTTGAAAAATACATGCAAGAAGTTGCTACTCCATCCTAACAACATGTAAAAAGTTGAACAAACTGAAAACTAGCAACTTCTTAGATCCTTCAGAGAAGGGAGGCCACAGGACAAACCATTGCTCCCCAGATTGGAGAGATAGACAGGCGATACAGAGAATCACAGCTTCCTGGAACAGAAACCCAGGAGCAGACAATTCTGCAGGAACCAGTGCCTGGTAGAAAACTTACACTTTTTTTTTTAGATTTTATTTATTTGAGAGAGGGAGAGAGAGGGAGAAGGAGGCCCCCTGCTGAGCAGGGAACCCAATGGGGGCTTGATCCCAGGACTCTGGGATCATGACCTGAGCCGAAGGCAGATGCTCAACCAAATGAGCCACCCAAGTGCCCTGAAAACTTACACTTTAATTGATGAATTGCAGGAGGCTCAGTATGAACAAGTCTGAGAGTTCAAAACTCCAGGGGTCCCAGTCAAAGGGATCTCTAGATCAGGTCCTCACAGTGAAGACTGGAGAAAAATTCCCTCATGTTTCTCTCAGGAGAAAGGGGAAAGTAACCATTTTGAAAAATACCAGACCATACTGTTCTTCTTAAGTTCTGCCCTCAAGAGAAACTGTTTTACCAAAGTCTAACCTATGGGGGTTTCATTAGGGCCTGACTTATTTGAAAGAAGGTAAATACCTCAACTCTAGCCTTCTATGTGACAGAAGAGAAATACCCGATTCCAGCTTCCTCTAGCCATCTTGTGCCACCAAAGGTGGGAGTGGGGGATATTGAGAAGCACTGGTGAAGTTCACAGACTAGATGCATATGCTCTTCAAAAGACTTGAGACCTTATCATAGGACTATACAATGTTTCCCCTTCTCCCATACCTTACACCACACCATTAAAGGCTTATTTGCCAGAGTTCCTTTCACCTAGTACATCATGTCTGGATTTTAACAAGAATTACAAGCATACCAAAAGGCAGAAAACATAGTTTGAGGAGACTGAACAAGCATCAGAACCAGAGTCAGATATGGTAGGGATGTTGGAATTATCATACTGGGAATTTAAAATGACTATGATTAATAGGCTTAGGACTTTGATGGAAAAAGTGGACAACATAAAGGAACAGATAAATAATGTAAGTGGAGAGATGGATATTCTAAGAAACAAACAAAAAGAAATGCTAGAGATCAAGAACACTAACAAATGAAGAATGCCTTTGATGGCCTCATTATTAGACTGGCTATGGCTAAGAAAGAATCTCTGAGCTTGAGGATATGGTAATAGAAACTTCCAAAACTGAAAAGCAAAGAAAAAAAAAAGGCTGAAGAAAACAAATATCCAAGAACTGCAGAAAATGGAATTTTAAAATCTCAATTAAAACTACAAAATACAGAAAAAGTGTGAAAGACAAAAGAACAAAGGCAGTAAATAGAAAACAATAACAAATATGGTAGATATTAATCCAAATATATCAATAATCACCTTAAACGATAATGATCTAAGTACACCAATTAAAAGTGATTATCGGAGTGTATCCAAAACCAAGACCTAAATATATGTTGTCTACAAGAAACTGACTTTATATATAAAGAGGGGTGCCTGGGTGGCTCAGTCATTTAAGTGTCTGACTTTTGTTTTTGGCTCAGGTCATGGTCTTGTGAGTTGTGGGATGGAGCCCCGAAGCAGGCTCCATGCTCAGTGCAGAGTCTACTTAAAGATTCTCTCCTCTGCCCCACCCTTCATCTATGTGCTCTTTCTCTCTCTCTCATAAATAAATAAAATCTTAAAAATAAATAAATATAGAGACACGTAGAGTAAATGGATAGGAAAAAAATACCATGATAACACTAATCAAAAGAAAGGAGTAGTTATATTAATTTCAGACAGAGTAGGCTTCAGAGCAGGGAAAGTTATCAGGGATAAAGAAGGGTATCTAATAATGATAAAGGGGTCAATACTCCAAGATGACATAATAATCCTTAATGTTTTGTCTAACGATAGAGCATCAAACTATAGGAGGCAAAAACTGATAGAACTGCAAGGAGAAACAGGTGAATCCTCTGTTATAGTTGGAGACTTTAACACTCAATAGGAAGTGGACAGATACAGCAGGCAGAAAATTATTAAGGATATAGTTAAATTCAACAGCACCATCAATCAACTGGATATAATTGACATCTCTGGACTACTTTATCCAACAATAGCAGGTTACGGGGTGCCTGGGTGGCTCAGTCAGTTAAGCGTGTGCCTTTGGCTCAGGTCATGATCCCAGGGTCCTGGGATTGAGTCCTGCATTGTGCTTCTTGCTTAGCAGGGAGCCTGCTTCTCCCTCTGCCTGCCGCTCCCCCTGCTCGTGCTCTCCCTCTCTGTCCCTGTCTCTTTCTCTCTCAAGTGAATAAATAAAAAAATCTTTAAAAAAATAGCAGGTTACACATTCTTTTCAAGCTCACATGACTATAGGTAGCCCTGGTGTATTGTAATCACCTGCTAATCACTGTAATCCCTGACTAAGAATGGTTGCAAATAAGGCCATTTATTGCTCACTTAACAAAAGCCCAGAGGCAGGTATACTCAGGGTTGTTCTAGCAATTTGATGTGGATCAAGGTCAGGGTTTTATTTATTTTCCTTCTCTGTATTCCTGGTGTATTGTCTTATTATCCTGTGGTTATCACAGGATTACCAAAGATTGCAGTAGCTCCAAGCAGTAATTCCAGGCCGGAAGAGAAATTTTAGTTCCAGTCACCTCTATTGGAAATAGGAAGAAGGGGAACTGAGCAATAGGGGGAGGTATTGTTTATTTTAGTTTTGTTTTTGTTTTTGTTTTAGGAGACAAACGAAGCAATATGCTATTGGCCCTGGATCTTTACACATATTTTTTCCTTCTGCCTGGCATCTATGATCTCCTAAACCCTTCCCACATATTGTATCTCAGTGCCTAGTTGTAGTACCTGGTACATACTAAGTAATCAGTAAATATTTTTGAAAGGAAAGCAGGCAGAGCAAAAGTAGAGTCAGTTCAACAAAACTAATCTCTCTAAAACATATTGTCTAAAATCAGGGCAGGTAAGTAATGAGGCAATCACAATATAGAATGGTAAGTGCTAGGATACTGTTAATTACAAGATACTGTGGGAGCATATAGGGAGGAGTTAGCTCAGAATAACTGAGATCTAAAGGATGGTAGAAATAACTAAACCCAGAGGGAAAGAAAGTCTCTTGGTTTATACTTTAACTTCCATAAAGTAAAACAAATATAATCCTTTTTGAGGGAGGAAGACCTTGAAGAGATTCTAGTGGGGAAAAAAAGGGGAGGATGGCAAATAGTAATTGATCATATAGTGCCCATTATTACTAATTTAAGATGTCTTAAGACTGCATATTTTGTTTCTATTTTTAGTGAAAAAATAGCAAAAATCCAAGACTTCAGTTCTCCTATTTTCTATAATGTCTTAATTTTTTCACTGTTTTTACCATCTCCTACTCTGAAAGTTTTCAGGCATCTAACTATACAAGTTGGAAACTCCTAATACATATTTTGTATGTAGTAGCACATGAAAATGTTTTGACAAGCACAATGGAAAGGTTGCCAGATTAAATACAGGATGCCTGGTTAAATTTGAATGTTAGATGAACAACAAATAAGTTTTTAGTATAAGTATAAAATTGCATGGACCATAGTTATACTAAATCACTTCTGTTTTTTTAAAAAAATACTTTATTTGAGTGAGAGAGCACGTGCACATGTGCATGAGTTGGGGGAGGGGCAGAGGGACAAGCAGACTCCCTGCCAAGTGGGGACCCCAACACGGGGCTTGGTCCCAGGACCCTGAAATCATGACCTGAGCTGAAGTTAGATGCCTAACTGACTGAGCCACCCAGGCGCCCCTAAATCATTTTTGTTTATCTGCAATTCAGATTTACCTGGGTGTCCTATATTTTTATTTGCTAAATCTGGAAACCCTAACAATAGATACCAGATTTCAAAGAGGAGTGCTAAACTGGGATTTACAAAGTAATTGACTCTTTTTTTAAAAGATTTTATTTATTTATTTGACAGAGGGAGAGATAGTGAGAGAAAGTACAAGTGGGAAAGAGAGGGAGAAGCAGTCTACCTGCAAGCAGGGAGCCCAATGCGGGGCTCGATCCCAGGACCCTGGGATCATGACCAGAGTTGAAGGCAATTGCTTAACGGACTGATCCACCCAGGTGCCCACAAAGTAATTGACTCTTAATCTTTTAACTCATTCTCAGAGTATGAAATGGTCAAGGAGAAGATTTTAAGAGCACTCCTATCCTTTCTCTACCCTAAGAATTTACCACAGTCCCCTGCATTTTGGAGGCCTATAGAATGGGGCCTGATTCAATCCCTAAAAAAGGCTAAGGCAGTGATTGATTGGCTAGCTGCACTAACAGTAGAAGCAAAGAAGAGGCTGCTGCTGCATTGGGATAAGCTTTCAACCTCAGAATTTACCGGGACAAAGTAAGCTCCACTGTTTCCTGTAGACTAGATGTGGGCCATATATATACATCTACCCAAGAAAGATGGCATAGGGTTGTCATGGATTCTGTCCAGGAAGGCTGTATAAATATGCAAACACATCTCAGCAGACTCAGCAGAGAAAAGCTGGAGGTATCACAAATGTCAACAACCAGTTGGAATAGAAATTATATATATATATATATATATATATATATTTTAGAGAGTGAGTGCAACTGGGGGAGGAGGAGAGGGAAGGGAGAGAGAAGCATGGATCCTGATGTGGGGCTCGATCTCACAACTCTGAGATCATGACCTGAACTGAAATCAAGAGTTGGATGCTTGACTGAGCCACCTAGACGCCCCAGAATAGAAATATATTTGACAATATCAAGAAATTTGCAGATAAGAGATCTCCAGTGATGGCAATCTCCAAGGAACTGACCAAAGTACCTCATGAAAGAGTCAGCTTTAGGAATCTGCCACATCCAGGAAAAAATGATGTTAGAAAACACAACAGTAATAGTCAATAAGAACTTTCCATTTCTCTCTCTTCTCCAGAGCTCTAATCCCTAAAGGGTCCCATAGTAGCAAGCTAGAAAAGTAGGAACAGAAGCAGTAGGCCAGAAAAAAGAAGGTGTTCATATCCTCCTTCTCTGACTATAAGTTTTAATAGTCTTAGCTGGAAGATAGAAGCCTCAACTTTATTTATTTATTTTTTAAAGATTTTATTTGTTTATTTGAGAGAGAGGGAATGAGAGATAGAAAGCACGAGAAGGAAGAGGGTCAGAGGGAGAAGCAAACTCCCTGCTGAGCAGGGAGCCCGTTGTGGGACTCGATCCCGGGACTCCAGGATCATGACCTGAGCCGAAGGCAGTCGCTTAACCAACTGAGCCACCCAGGCGCCCTAGAAGCCTCAACTTTAAAACAAAACAAAGGTTTATTTACACATGGTTCTGGACATTTTACTAACCAGATAAACATATTACTATGAAGTTGTCAGAAATGTCACAGAACCAACTAAGTTTTCATTCAGAGGCAGGGCAAGAACTAGCCCTGCTGAATAAATGTAGAGATGAAACGTCACTTTGGAAAATAGCTTGGCAATTTCTTATAAAAGTTAAACATAACACTTATCTAACCCATCAGTCTCACTCCTGGGTGTTTATCGAAGAGAAGTGAAAACTTACATTCATCCCAAAACCTGTTTATATGGTGCCTGGGTGGCTCAGTCAGTTAAGCATCTGCCTTCGGCTCAGGTCATGATCTCAGAGTCCTGGGATCAAGCCCCACATTGGGCTCCCTGCTCAGCAGGGAGCCTGCTTCTCCCTCTCCCTGTGCCTGCCGCTCCCCCTGCTTGTGCTCTCCTTGCTCTCTCTCTCAAATAAATAAATAAAATCTTAAAAAAAAAACACCTGGAATTTTTATAGCAGTTTTATTTATAATTGCCCAACCCTGAAAACAACTTAAATGTCTTTCACTTGGTAAATGGATGAAAATATGTGGTACAGCCATACAATGGAATAGTATCAATCAGTAAATAAAAAGGAATGAATTAGTGATACATATATAGCTGAATCTCACAGGAGTTACGCTAAGTGAAAAAAGCCAGATTCGAAAGGTTACATACTGTATACTTCTATTTATATGGCATCTGGAAAAGGTAATGTCTAACTTCATACCAAGCACCTGCTTTTGGTCACTCCCTGGTGCTGTAAGGTAAGGTCAAGTTAGGGAAACAGAAGGTATATGACCAAAGGCCCCATTACCAAAGTGCTCCCATCCCTTTACTTACTGTGATTTAATGGATGCAAGAGATTTTCTGAAGGTAGACTGAACATCTAACTGGAGTAGCATAGGAATATCTGGGTACCCACCCAGCTGGGCCCAGAGTGAATTTATTGATATCTTCTCTGTTATTGGGTAGCTTGAAGTTGACAGATCAGCATTCCAGATAGCTCCTATTTGGTCTTCTTGTCTAGAGAATCAGAGACACTTGAAAGTGCCAAACTCTCCTGAACTCCATATCCAATTAAAATGTATGAATCTTATTTTCCCCTTTTCTCTTCCCCACTGTCTTGTCCTATAATGTCCTCTCTGGCACTGAAGAACATTAGCTATGCCCCCTTTGACTGAGAGATGGATTAAAATAGCAGAATTTGCTGAAAAAATTTTTTTTCTTCCCTGAAAGCTGCATTTTCATGACTTCACTTAGTAATCTATTTTAAACTATCTTCTTAGCTTTATAGACCATATCTAGACTGTTTTTTTTCCCAGAAATGTTCTTTTCCCCTTCCTTCCCAAAGCTCCTACCTTCTTTTTTTTAAAACAGGAAAAAAGTAATGTTTCTAAGTTTCTTCATTCAGTTAAAATAATTTGTTTCATGGTAGGGAAAATCAGTTTCATTTTTTTTTTTTACAAGACCAGGTTTATTTTTTAATTTATTTAATTTTTTTGAAGTTGAACTAATTTATTAATTGAGCAAAAGTAAAACAATTCAAATTCAAATAGAATATAACATATTAATAAATGTTCCACAAATCTATAAATGTATGTCCTCACATGATTAATGAAATTAATCTTTCATCTGGAAAAAATCTATTGACACTAGTTATGATTCAGTTAGATATAAGTTCAAAAGTGTGATAAAAGAATTCTAACACTTTATTCAAAAAGTTCTGCCTGGTTGAACTGTGTATTTGAAGTCTTTAGCATTCACGATTAATGACATGGAAAAATAGATACCTAGGTGAATCTTTGGGGTAAGCCCCTGCATGTGAGATGAAGCACCCAAGACACATTATAAGGAAGGGATGTCATCAGCTTATCTCCCTCCAGGACCATAATTGTCATGTCACCTGTAGGAACAAGAGAGCCCCTGTCTTGGGAATGTTACAAAGGGGAGCTAGCCACTAAAGGGAAAACTGGACTTACATCATTCCTGGAAAAGAGCAGACAAGGAGCAGACCAGCATCATTTTTTTTTAAAGGAACTCAAAATTAGATGTTAAAGTAGAAATATACATAAATAAGCTTCTTGTTGAATTGGCTAAGAAAATCTATGCTACTTTAGACTCTCTACTGCACCATATCATAATTGTGGGGAAGGGGAAACTCTTGGGCAGGAAAAAACCAGTATTAGGTCCAACATATCATCCAAAGAAGGTTTAATATCAGTCTTTTTCAAGCACATACCGAAATTTCTTGAATGTGTCAGACTTTCTGTCATCTTCTATTAGCAGCTCTAGGAATGGCTGTTGGACAAATTTGGTAGAGGCAGGTATCTGCTTTTTGTCGATGATCAAAGGGATAGGTTGACTAAGATTCAATTTATACATCCCTTGAAGCTAAAAATAAATAAATCAGAAAAGGAAACCATGGGGAGAAAAAGGTCAGAGTCTTTAGGAAGATCTGAGCTGGCGCTAGCTAAACTATGACTCTTTATTTTCCATGGACTTGCAAATCCTTTTTCTCCATCCTCTTTCTCTCTTCCTCCAATCATACTTCCACTTCCAACACACAATTTCAGAGGTGCCACTATGTTATATAAAAACACTGGTCCTGGGGAGCCTCGGTGGCACAGTCGGTTAAGCATCTGACTCTTGGTTTTGGCTCAGGTCATGATCTCAGTGTTGTGGGATCAAGCCCTGGGTAGGGCCCCGCACTCAGCATAGAGTCTGCTTAAGATGCCCTCTCCCTCTGCCCCTCTCCCCCACACTCTCCTGCTTGCTCTCTCTCTCTCAAATAAATAAATAAATCTTCAAAAAACAAACAAACAGAAAAACCCATTGGTCTTGCATAAGCTGTAGTTCTAGTCCTCTCATTTCCTGTGACTGCGGTAGTTGCTAATTTTATCTGCACCTTTCTCCTCATTTCTTTTCTTTTCTTTTTTTTTTAAGATTTTATTTATTTAACAGAGAGAGACAGCGAGAGAGGGAACACAAGCAGGGGGAGTGGGAGAGAGAGAAGCAGGCTTCCCGCTGAGCAGAGAGCCCGATGCGGGGCTCGATCCCAGAACCCTGGGATCATGACCCGAGCCGAAGGCAGATGCCCAACGACTGAGCCACCCAGGTGCCCCCTCCTCATTTCTAAAACAAGGATAATAACACAGGGTTGTTGTGAGTGTTGGATAAGATAATATATATGGAAGCACCTCATAAATTGTGAAGCACTATGCAAATCTAATGATAGCTAACACTTACTGAATACATGCTGAATGTTACATGCTTTTTATATATTAAATCATTTGGTATGTACAGCAATCTTATGAGGTGGGTACTGTTATTATCCTCATCTTACATTTGGAGATCTGAAGCTCAGAAAAAATTTAGACCTTCCCCAAGGTCTCTTAGCTAATATGTGGCAAAGCTGATTTGTTTTTTTTTTTTTTTAAAGATTTTATTTATTTATTTGAGAGAGAGCATGAGAGGGGGGAGGGTCCGAGGGAGAAGCAGACTCCCCGCCGAGCAGGGAGCCCGATGCGGGACTCGATCCCGGGACTCCAGGATCATGACCTGAGCCGAAGGCAGTTGCTTAACCAACTGAGCTCCCCAGGCGCCCGGCAAAGCTGATTTGAACCCACACAATCTGGTAGGAGAACCAACCTCTTGACCAGTGTAAGGTATTTATTTATTTCTACCCTCTTCTCCCTTTTGCTTTTTCCTCTCCCTTCTTATGCCTTGATAACCACTTCATCATCTAGATTGTGGATCCCCTGATCCCAGACCCTTATTCATCCTCTGAAATGTCCTAGATATGTGATTCCTGTTAGTTCATGACACTGCCAATTCAGCTTGCTTTATTCCACATACATTGGCCATATTTTCCAAACCAAAACCTCAAAAATATCCTTTTTTTGGTCAAAGAGCTTTAATATTTGAAATATAACTATTGTGGAAAATTCAGAGTATGTCTGATTTGGATCAGCTATGATAAGAAATCTCTTTGTACCTTCTAAATCTTCAAGTAATTTTATAAATTAATTTAGTGAAAGAAAAGGATATATAGATATAAAATATTCCTAGAACACCAAGAATGTTTTAGAACTCCATGCTGGAGCATGTAATGGGAGCATGTAATCCCATAGCAAAGAACTCTAATCTCAGCTTTATAAGTTTTTAGAAGGTCACTGTCACTCCCAAAAGCATACTAATGGTTATCTCAGACGAGCTCTGGGACATAATGAGTGGATGTCAGAGTTTAACAGGATCTTCCATGCCTGGTACTATGTAAGCAAGTTAAATAAACTTTTAACTCCTTTATTGTAAACTCATTCTATTAAATTTTGCTTTCTGATGGTTTGTTTGTTTTTTTAAGATTTTTATTTATTTATTTGACAGAGAGAGAGACAGCAAGAGAGGGAACACAAGCAGGGAGAGGGTGAGAGGGAGAAGCAGGCTTCCTACTGAGCAGTGAGCCTGATGTGGGGCTCGATCCCAGGACCCTGGGATCATGACCTGAGCCAAAGGCAGACGCTTAACGACTGAGCCACCCAGGCGCCCCGGGTTTTTTTTTTTGTTTTGTTTTGTTTTTTAAGATTTTATTTCTTAGTGATCGCCAGACCCAATGTGGGGCTTGAACCCACAACCCTAAGATCAAGAGTCACATCCTCCACTGACTGAGACAGCCAGGTACCCTACTTGGTGAACTCCTCTAAAGATATGTTTCCCAGAATCTATGAATGTGATCTTATTTGGGGAAAAGGTCTTTATAGATGTAATTAAGGATCTCAAGATGAGATCATCCTGGATTAAATAGGTGGGTCCTATATCCAATGACACATGGCTTTATAAGAGACAGAAGAGAAGACATAAGACACACAGGGAAGAAGGCCAGGGGAAGGACAGAGGCAAAGGTTGGAGTCATGCAGCTACAAGCCAAGGAATGCCAAGGATTGTCGGCAGCTACCAGAGTCCAGGAGAGAGGCATGAAACAAATTTCTCCTTCAGAGCTTCCAGGAGGAAACAACCCTGCCAACACCTTGATTTCATGAACAGGCCTCCAGAACTGCAAGAGAATATATTTGTGTTGTCTTAAGCCATCAGGTTTGTGGTAATTTGTTACAGCAGCCCTAGGAGATTAATAAAAATGGTAGCTCCAGGTAAATGTTATTTTCCAAGCTTACCACTTTCATTTTTCTTACAAGGGAGGGGCAATAGAAAACAAGTTACCTGGTTAAATAAGAACATCATTTTCCCCAGGCACTGATTCCGTTTCTGCTCTAAAGACTTCTGCTTGTTGGTCCAGACCTGCATCATCTTTTTCTGATAGTCATCAATTCTGCTCAGCATTATGAAGAGTTTCTGGGTCTCATAACCTTTCCCAGTGTTTTGGATGGCTTGTAATCGTCTGATTATGTTGTTTCTTGAAAAAAATTAACAAGAAAGAGATTGATATAACAACTGACCCTAACTCAGCAAACCTGGGCCTAGTTACTTTCAGTTCTCATCCTTAGTAAGTAGAGTGGGATGTGATAGGGGTGGGAGGCTTGCTTAATGAGGCCTTAATCTAGTTTCTTATATGACTAAGCTTTCAAAAATCTTTATGACTGTCAAGTTTTCATTAATGTTAGAGTTTTTTAGTGTTATAATAGTGTTGCTTATTATTTTAATAGTTTTATATTTTAATATATTTATTAATATAAATCTATTTAATATATACTTTAATATTAAAATTTTGGTATTGATATGTATAAGACATATAGAAAGCACTTAATACAATTGTGAAAAAGGCATTGTCCTTGCCTTCAAAGCACTTACAAGCCAGAAAAGGAGACTAATACATTAACTATGTCAAAGAGAATGAAATAAATGCTAAATAGAAATATAAACATGCTGTTGGAGCAAAAAGAGCATAATTCATACTAACAAGAAGAATAAAGAAGGCCTCATAGGAAGATGTTGCATAGGCTCTTGAGGAACAATCATAAAAATATACTCTCTCTCTTCACAATAATATATACCACCATGTTTAAGCCTTCTGAACAGATAGTGTTTTGCCATCTTTGTTCTACAGGAGAGGAAAAGGAATCTGAGCAAAGGTAAGTAATTTTCTGAAGTTACATAATTAATAAATATCAGATTTTGAAGCAAACCCAAATCTTTTCTATTTCTACAATACCAGCATTTCTCAAAATGTGGACCCTGATCACCTGGACTGAATCATCTGGGCAGGGGTGATGGGGTGGTGATGGTGCTTACTGAAAATGCGGATTCCAGTGAAAGTACAACTTTCTCAGAAAGAAGAATATAAATCTCAGTGGCTAACAACAAAATTTTACTTGTTGCTCATACTACAAATCCATCATGGTTCATTAGGGAGTGAGCTTCATTGTATACTCTCAAGGACACAGTCTATCTTAACAGACATCACCTTGAACAATGTGGGTTATGTCAGAGGAAAAGGAGACTCTGGAGGGTCTCAAACTAACAATGACAAGCTCAACACAGAAATGACATATATCAGTTCTGCTTAAATTTCATTGAAAAGTCCTGGCAAATAGCACTAATGACTATCACAAAGATTCCGCATCATAATAATAAAACTACAATGAATAATAAAAAATAGAAATGACTCATCTCTATGCAATCAACAAAAAATAATGGAAAGTCTATATATGGACCTAAATGATACAAGAATCTGTGATGAAGGTACATTCAAACCGTAGGGAAAAAGGTAGATTATTTTGTAAGTAGTGATGGGGCAACTGGGTAGCCATGTGGAAAAAAGTCACATCCATATCTCTCAACAGGAAGTTGTGAATCAGAGACTTAAATGTAAAACAAAAAAACTAATAACCAACCATAAAAGTACCAAAAGAAACCTAGAATTTTTTTTATATTTCTCAGAGTGGAGAGGGCCTTTCTAAATAAGGTACAAAATATTATTAAAAATAATGAACCTGGGGTGTCTAGCTGGCTCGTTGGTAGAGCATGTGACTCTCAATCTCAGGACTGTGAGTTTAAGCCCCACATTGGGCATGGAGCCCACTTAAAAAAAATAACAAACCCCAAAACGAATAATCTCATTAAAAAATGGGCAGAAGACATGAATAGACATTTTTCCAAAGAAGACATCCAAATGGCTAACAGACATAGGACAAGATGCTCAACGTCACTCATCATCAGGGAAATGCAAATCAAAACTACAATTAGATATCATCTTCACCTGTCAGAATGGCTAAAATGAACAATTCAGGAAACAACAGATGTTGGTGAGGATGCGGAGAAAGGGAAACCCTCTTGCACTCTTGGTGGGAATTGCAAACTGGTGCAGCCACTCTGGAAAACAGTATAGAAGTTTCTCAAAAAGTTAAGAATAGAACTACCCTACAACCCAGCAATTGCACTACTAGGCACTTACCCAAAGGATAAAAAATAGTGATTCAAAGGGTCACATGCCATGTTTATTGCCACATTATCACAATAGCCAAATTACGGAAAAAGCCCAAATGTCCATCAACTGATGAATGGATAAAGAAGATGTGGGGTGTGTGTGTGTGTGTGTGTGTGTGTGTGTGTGTGTCATGGAATATTACCCAGCCATCAAAAAGAATGAAATCTGGCCATTTGCAACTATGTGGATGGAACTAGAGTGTGTTATGCTAAGCAAAGCAAGTCAGTCAGAGAAAGACAAATACCATAAGATTTTACTTATATGCGGAATTTAAGAAACAAAACAGATGAACATAGGGGAAGGGAAGGAAAAATAAGATACAGAGAGGGAGGCAAACCATAAGAGACACTTAAATATAGGGAATAAACTGAGGGGAGGTGGGTGGGGAGCATGGAGTAATTGGGTGATGGGCATTAATGAGAGCACTTGATATAATGAGCCCTGGGTGTTGTATGCAACTGATGAATGACTAAATAATACCTTTAAACTAATACTACGCTATATGTGAACTAACTTGAATTCAAATAAAATTTTGAAAGAATGAATAATTAATAAATAAATGTTTTGATTATATCTTGAATAAGTCTGTTTTGTACCTTGTTCTAGACCTTAGTTCCCAAATTAATTCAGTCCTCAAAAATGTAAATTTCATGAGCACTCTAATACAATACTTGCCACATTCAATAAATGTTTGTTGAATAAATGATATAAGTTGTTCCTATAATTAATGATCTATAAATAATAATAAATAATATTAATGATAACCTTTTCTAGTATAGATTTTTGTTTGGCATCTTACAATATTAGGTAAAAGATAGCCCCCAAATAATAGGTTGGTAACCTCAAACATAAGTGCTAAGGGTAGCAGGACAATTGTCACTTTCCCTATTTCTGCAATTTTTAAAAATCAAGACCAGGACCTATATCCTCCATGTCAGTTCAGCAACGAAGTTGCCATGACAACACCTTGTATATAACCTGCCATCTCCCATTTTAAGAATCATACATCTTGTGGCGAATCCAAGAAGATTAAAGAAATTTAGAATACTTAGAAATTTTTCAAAAACTAATTATGTACTATACAGTGACTAACTGAACATAATAAAAAAAAGAAACAGCTAAAAAAAGAATACTTAGAAGTTTAGAATAATTGGAGGGCGCCTGGGTGGCTCAGTTGGTTAAGTGACTGCGTTCGGCTCAGGTCATGATCCTGGAGTCCCGGGATCCAGTTCCGCATTGGGCTCCCTGCTCAGCGGGGAGTCTGCTTCTCCCTCTGACCCTCCCCCCTCTCATGCTCTCTCTCTCTCATTCTCTCTCAAATAAATAAATAAAATCTTTAAAAAAAAAAAGAAGTTTAGAATAATTGGAAGCAAGCTTTTAAAAAGTTGGTATTTTGGAGATCAACCATGATCCACAAAATACATCTTAGCTAGAGATATAAATTGATGAAATAGATCATGTTATATGACATTTTTTATTTCTGAAAAAGTTTATCTCCTTTTGGTATCTTAAATAGGCTTCATACCACAGACCTTCTATAAGATAATATTTTAGAACATCTAATATGACAGATATGTATATACTTATAGGACAATGAAGAGAGGATATTTGAAATCAGGACTAAACCAGAAAACTGGACATTCAATATTTACATCTACCTTGCTCGCTGGATCAGCCTGTAAGCAATGTACTTGCGAAATAGGTATCCCAGCCGAACTGTGTCCATATGAAGTGTTTCAATTATGAGATTCCTAGCTGTTGCGTGTAGCTGTGAAGGCAGTCTAGAAGATTTTGTGGCCTGATTCAAGAGTATCAGGTTCTTTCTCTGAGCTTCCACATCAACAAAATACCTCTGTTCTTTGAGCTCTTGGGGAGAGGAAGGGGACACCATCATCTTAGGTTTCTTGGTAACTGAATCTGAAGTCAGTATCCAGGACTTGTCTATAGGGGGGAACTGGGTTTTCTGATCCCATTCAGAAGATGAAATTTGTGACGTTTTGGGTAGTTTCATAGTAAGAGGCTTCATGAGAGGGGGAAGGGCCCTCCCACCAATGTAAGGGGTTTGTGATACTGGTGTCCTGTAATCGGTGAGATAGGACTGAAATGTTCTAAATTGTTCCATGGCAATAGGATCATGGCATGTCTGGATTTCTTCAGAACTGTCAGAGACCTCTGATATTTGGAAGTCCTTAGCAGTAAAAGGGACTGATTTAGATTTCAGAGAAGAAATAATTGTCAATCTTTCCTTACTTTTCTTAGATATAGAAGAAGACACATCTTTCTGGGGCTTCCCAGGGGTTGGGGAGGTCCATAGTGTTGGAGGATGCCCAGGGGTGGGAGGGATCCACAGTGGGGAAGCATGATGCTGCCCAAGAGTAGAAGGAACTTGTAGATAGAGAGATTGCTCATAGGTAGGAGGGGGCTGGAATGCCTGGGGCTGCTCAGAGAGTGTTAGGGGTCTAGATTCCAGGATAGAGGAGGTCCCAGAAACCAAGGGCTTCCTAGGGGAAAGAGGAGCCAAGAGACTGGGAATCTGTGCAGAGGAGAGTGGGACTCCAGATATAAGAGGCTGCCTGGGGGCCAGAGGGGCCTCTGATATCAGAGGTAGCTGAGGGGTCCAAGAGTCTCTTAAGAACTTTCTAGAACTAAGAAGGGTCTCCAGTGCAAACTTCCCAGGGGACAGAGGGACCTCTGGTGCTACAAACTGAACAGAGGTGGATTGACCTTCAGAAACCAGGGTCTGTTTAGAGGAAGGAAAAGTCTGTGGTGCCAGGAGCTTCCCAGGGTCAGAAAGAATTCTCATTCCTAGCAATTTCCCAGGGTCTTGGGAAAGAGGAGACCCTGATATCTGCAAAGGAGTAGAAGAGACCTCCAATACAGAGGACTTCTCAGCAATAGGAACAGATGCTGGGGCTTGCCTAGGGCTTGATGTAATGGATTTCCCAGGGAGGACAGAAGCGTTCAATCTTTGAAATGATCTAAGACTGGAAGGGGCCAATGTGGGGAACTGTTTAGAAATGTGAGGAGCACCTATAATGGGTTTATCAGTAACAGGAATGATCCCAACTTTCAGGGTATGTTCTAGAGTAGGATGGGCCCCAAGTGGTGAGGTCTGTTCACTTGATTGTTGGTCCTCCTCAGACATGAGAGTAATACCCATGGGATGGGATTGTCCTGGGATGAAGGGGGCTCCCAAAGTTTGTACTTGTTCAAGGGGAGATTCTATAGAATGGAATTTATCTGAGGTGAGAGGGACTCCAAATTTCCAGAAGTGTTCTGGAAAGAAAGAAACCCCTAATGCTTGAGCCTGTTCTAAGGAGAGAGGGGCACCTAAAGCTTGGGTCTGTTCAGGGGAAAGAGTGAGAGCTGACAACCAGGCACTTTCTAGTGTAATAGGAACCCCCAATTCCCAGGCCTGTGCAACAGTGAGAGGAGACCCCTGTGCCTCAACTTTCCCAGGGGTGAGTGTGAAACCCAAGCTCTGGCATTTCTCAGGTGTGAGGGTAACCACCAATGCTTTGAACTGCTCAGGGGTAAGAGTGATGCCATGTGCCTGGGTCTGCTGAGGGGTGAGAGTGATCCCCAGTGCCTGAGCCTGCTGAGGGGTGAGAGTCATCGCCTGTGCCTCGGCCTGCTGAGGGCTGAGAGTCATCCCCAGTGCCTGGGCCTGCTCAGGGGTAAGAGTGATCCCTAGTGCCTGAGCCTGCTGAGGGGTGAGAGTGAACCCCAGTGCCTGGGCCTGCTGAGGGGTGAGAGTGATCCCAGGTGCCTGGGCCTGCTCAGGGGTGAGAGTGATCCCTTGTGCCTGAGCCTGCTGAGGGGTGAGAGTGATCCCAGGTGCCTGGGCCAGCTCAGGGGTGAGAGTGAACCCCAGTGCCTGGGCCTGCTGAGGGGTGAGAGTGATCCCAGGTGCCTGGGCCAGCTCAGGGGTGACAGCGATCCCCTGTGCCTCGGCCTGCTGAGGGGTGAGAGTGATCCCTTGTGCCTGAGCCTGCTGAGGGGTGAGAGTGATCCCCTGTACCTGAGCCTGCTCAGGGGTGAGAGTGATCCCCAGTGCCTGGGCCTGCTCAGGGATGAGAGTGATCCCCAGTGCCTGGGCCTCCTCAGGGGTGAGAGTGATCCCCAGTGCCTGGGCCTGCTCAGGGGTGAGACTGATCCCCAGTGCCTGGGCCTCCTCAGGGGCGAGAGTGATCCCCAGTGCCTGGGCCTGCTCAGTGGTGAGAGTGATCCCTAGTGCCTGAGCCTGCTGAGGGGAGAGAGTCATCCCCAGTGTCTGAGCCTGCTCAGGGGTGAGGGTGATCCCCAGTGCCTGGGCCTGCTGAGGGGTGAGAGTCATCCCCAGTGCCTGGGCCTGCTGTGGGGTGAGAGTGATCCCTTGTGCCTGAGCCTGCTGAGGGGAGACAGTCATCCCCAGTGCCTGGGCGTGCTGTGGGGTGAGAGTCATCCCCAGTGCCTGGGCCTGCTGAGGGGTGAGAGTGATCCCCAGTGCCTGGGCCTGCTGAGGGGTGAGAG